CATAATCTGAAGATTAGTTTTCATAGACAATAGACTAGTTTATGCAAATTAGATAATTAATATGCACAGATTGAAACCAAAAACTATTTCATCTGTGGATTACCTCAGAGCACATATGTATCTGTGGAGGAGCAAAAAATAGGCAAATTTATGGAAATTTTCATTAAAATTATTTATAGACAATAAGCTCATTTATGCAAATTAGATGATTAATATGCACAGATTGAGACCCGAACCTATTCTGGCATGTGGATTATCTGAGAACAATAATATATTGTACCAAGTTTCATTAAAATCTCTAGATTGTTCTTGAGAAACAAAAGTGTAAAATTGGATGAATATACAACTAAGGTTCCTAATTCAAAAAATAGTTCAGATAACTCAATTTTTGCTCTTTGAACTTTCGAATTGCCAGTAATAATTTAGCCAAATTTCTGGAAAATCTTGTGTTTAAAGTGCAGATACATATGCATACACACATGTGTTTGTGTCAAAGGTCAAATGTTGTTGGTCACATTTGCCAGCTTATTAGTGTATTAATGTTTTTTTTATACAAAGCATAAAGTTCTATGTAAGAATTATTGTATTCATTGTTTATAAATGTGTAATGATCTCCTAATCCAATGTAAAAATGTCCTTTTGTTGGAGTAAGTAGCGGCTGTTGAAATTCATTTTAGAGGATTAAGTCATGGTGCAAATACATAAAAGAAAATATTCTATAATGACTACAAATATTTTTTTTTCATTTCCATTATATAACATCACTGCAACTCAAAGAAACTGAAATACGTACTGTATTCTCAAATTACGTACTGTTTAAGAGCATAATTCCAACACAAGTGCTTATAAACAAAAAATTATTATGTATTATGCATATTCAATCATTATTATAATAAGACTGAAACGCCTCTTTCATTTGAATAATGTTATCATGATGTGAAAATCTGAACACTCCGTCGAACACACTCAAAAAGAGGATGAGAATACTTGAAAAAAAAATATTTTTGGAACTTTGGCGTATGTTTTGCATATAATCAATAAAGCTTGCTTACGATGAGAAATGTCTCTACACAGTTCCATATATATACATATAACTTTTGACAAAATTCAATAGGTGTCTCGACTCCATTCAACTCTGGCACAAAGGTGGTGATTATGCAAATCAGCAAATATCACAGATGTTTATTTCTTGACACTCAATAAAATTGTAAGGAACAATCATATCGTGGGCAGCTATTTTGATCCACCTGGACATCCCAGTATCCTAGTTACCTCGGGCATGCGCATTCGCATTTTTTCTGAGTTGGAACGCTTATGCGAGAGCGAGATTGTGGCGGGATCTTGGTATCATGTCACCGTAGTTACAAACCCCAAGTAATGTACCTCTGTTATTACTGATAACAGGCAATTAATATGAATAGCTCCACTCTTTTGATTTTAGTTGACAGTGGAGCTAAAAAATATTGTTTTTAAGCAAAAATAATACATGTATGCTGGATGGAATATTTTGGTAAGACAATAATATTCACAAATATTGAATATTAAGAAAATGATATATATGTTGTAGCTCTGACTTTATAAAATTGTATTTAACACTGAGTTAAGGAGGTTGAGGTGAATTGAAGATCTATGTTAGGTTTCGTCATACTTTTATTAGTACGGATTAACATCATCAGGATACTGAAAATGAAGAAAAATTGGGGTCATCGAACAATTTTTCAAAACACTTGATTCAGAAATATCATGAAAAATATTGAAAATTTGCATTTTTGAGTTGGTTTCTAGGCTAGATTATTTCTTCATACTGTATCTCGAGTAATAATACTGTTGAAACATTTCACAAAAACTAAAATTTAATATACTGAGTATCCAGTATGATAATATTTTTTCCATAATATACATATTTCCATCAAGTTCTCTCTCATAAGGCATTGTATACATGTATTTGTGTAGTAACATGTTCAGTAGTAAAATTTGAATTTGCCTAAAACTACATGATAATGGTGCTAGCATAGGACCGTGCAAATATCAACAACATATACTGCCAGCGTGGTAGAATAGCTTACAACACTACATGTACAACAATGCATGTATGAACATTACCATGGGATGACAGTTAGGAATCAGAGGTATTATGACAGTTTTATACAATAACCACACCAAAACAAACAGCAAGAATAAGTAGCTATGGTATATACATACAGACAAGTGCTGAAATGGTTATCATAAAACACTAAGCAAAACACAGCATGGAAGCTGTACAATAATTTCCTGTATTTGCACCCTGTCATGTTTGCCCATACATTGTACATGTATGTTTTGCTTTGAAAAATATGCTGTGAAAAAATTACTGTAAAATACATTATTTTAGCTGGAATTAATTTTCGCTGAAAAGACCTTTTGGTGTTTTGTATGGACTTTATTTTCACTGATTTTTGACAAGTTAAATGTAAAATATAGGAAAAAAAGAATATTCGCTTGATTTTATTTTCACTGAATCATTCCTTCAGCGAAAATAGCAAAAATTAATTCCAAGCAAAAATAAAGTATTTTACAGTAGTTTTAATTTTTCCTGCTCATGCAGGAAACAACACATGATTTGCAAATTAATAATGTTTTAATATATACATATATATAAAAATTAAGTTATAATTTAAAGCATGTATATAATTCTAACAAATTTAGTTTGATCTGGGAAAAAATAATGTTATATTGCAGCTGTAGTACGGTTATTCTAATTCTTGTTATTGTAATATGATCTGGGAAAAAAATATTGATGTTATATGTTGTGGTACTTGCTGTTTATATAAGGTTTTGTGGAAGATTGTGAAACCTGTATGGCTAGATACACCAAATCATGTCAATATTATGAATCCTAAAGTGGTAAATTGACACTTTCACTAGAGATATCGACAGCCAAATCGGTGCATAAGGATTAATAAAATGAGTTTTATTCAACCATAAAATTTATGTAAAGTAAAAACAAGTGACTGTCTCTAGCTCCTTTTGTCATTGAGATTTATATAATTGATTTTTACCGTTTCAGTTGTCTCATCATGACTGTATGCTTTGCATGAAAACATACTCAAAACATAGCTAAACTATAGAACACCTTGCCCATGATGGTAGCCTGCTATAAAAGTAAGTAAGTGATCGCTTCAATGAAACAACCTTGAGTGAATTACAGACAACTAAATGGCCACCAGTCGGCCATTTTTAATTGATCTGTGAGGAAAAATAAAGTCAAGGTCCCATAATGTACGATTGAACAAAATACATCCAAAGACAAAAATATACCGTTTTAAAATGGCAGAAATGCTTAATTGTAATTTTTTAGCTATACTTATATAACTGTTGAATCGGTTTTTCATAATAACTGTCTGTCTGTCTGCAGTGATCACAAAAATGTTAACATGGTTAGAATCTGAATCTAGCAATCTGATTGGCTGAATACTAACGTAAAAGAATCACAACTAAAAACAAGCAGCCTATCAGCTGAGATAGCTCCGCTGTTAGCAATGCACATTTCAATTAAAGAACTGAAGACATCATTAGAAAATGAACAATATGTAGAGACAAGAAGTCGAAAATATCACTTTTTACCAAAAATGACAAAAATATTCACCAAAATTAGAGAATTAAAGATATCATTACAAAATGAACAAATCTCAGAGAGGTCCACATGTAATACCTATATATGTAATATCAAAGCAATCGGACTTGCGGTTTTTAACAAGAAGTCGAAAATATCACTTTTTACAAAAAATGACAAAAATATTCACCAAAATTAGAGAATTAAAGATATCATTACAAAATGAACAAATCTGAGAGAGGTCCACATGTAGTACCTATATATGTAATATCAAAGCAATCGGACTTGCGGTTTTTAACAAGAAGTCGAAAATATCACTTTTTACAAAAAATGACAAAAATATTCACCAAAATTAGAGAATTAAAGATATCATTACAAAATGAACAAATCTGAGAGAGGTCCACATGTAGTACCTATATATGTAATATCAAAGCATTTGCACTTGCGGTTTTTAACAAGAAGTCGAAAATATCACTTTTTACCAAAAATGACAAAAATATTCACCAACATTAGAGAATTGAAGATATCAACATGAAATGAACAAACCTAAGAGAGGTCTACCCAAGGTACATATACACCAAGTATCAAAGCATTCAGGCTTGTAGTTTTCAAGAAGAAGTCAAAAAAGTAAAACATTGACACGGACGACGACGAACGACGACGACGGACAATCACTCATATGATAAGCTCCGCTCGACAAAGTCGACAGCGGAGCTAAATATAAATAAAATAAATTAACCCTCTGAAATGGGGTTAAATTAAATAAGTTTCCAAAAATGTACTCTCTTCCTACAGTGTGATGTACAATACTGTAAAGTTGTTTATTTTCATCAGCATTTAATTGCTATATTTTAATGTTTTGAGCATATTCGTGTTAAGTTCTTGAATCTGGCAGGAAAAAACAATGAACCCTAATGTTAGGTTCATATGGATTTAATTTAACAGATTTAATTATTAGCGAAATTAAAAATCAGTGCATAATTAATGTAATTATTGCATACATGTAGGTAACAGCTGATAGGACAACAGACTATACAGTATCCATATTTACACATTATATGAATTCAGACCTATTGAAAAGTTTATGTTCAAAATACATAGCTATTATAATAGTGTGATGGAATGCTGATTATTGAAAACCAAGATGGCACAGGTATTTCTATGATTAGAATAAATCTGTAATTAGTATAAATCATTACAATTTGAATTGTTTATGTGTTAAAACGATTATCACCTGATATCACTTACTCATGTAGCTGGTTAATTAACACTTGATATGGGCTGTAGTCAGCTATAGTTTGTGGATAACACAATCCATAACGTTACTTTAATAAGTCAACATACAAGTGACACCTGGCGATAACCTCATACCAGTAAGAGTATTTTATAAGATAAATCCTAAATCTACCTGCAACATAGAATTAATCATCTCAATAATACACTCATCACCATCAGGTGGCTGCCAATTTTTTCGACGAGGTTTGAATTTCTTAATGATGTCAGCTCCTGGAAACTTCTCATAGTCATCAGCCTCAGGCTCCTAAAAATAACCGAACAGAAATAAATTATAATATTAACATTCTACATTTTAGCAACATGAACTCACATCAACTAGGTATATTAGACATATATATAATCAATACAAATACCAAATATGCATATTAATTCATGACCTTCTCTTTGAAAGGTTACTGGCATAGTTTTCTATTGAACGCTGTCATTTGGGAACCTAAATTTGAAACCAACTGCCACAGAAAACTCTCTAGCTGTGCATGTGCGACACTTGTGTTGATAAACATTGATCCAATACACTTTTCTAATGAAAATCACAAGTATGAGGTTTGATCTGGGCATGACTTGTGCTAATTACCATCGGTGACTCCTTTGACACTTTCCAGTCACCTTCAAATACTAATTAAAGCTTAGTAACGTCTCAGTTTGTACCGACGCAACAGTCAAAGTCGCCATCTTTGTTTATATGAGATGCATATATCTTGTGCATGCGTGGCGTAATGACTACCACCCTTTACAGCAAGTCTCACAGGTATTGGGACAGCCAATTTGCAAACTTGCTTGCGAATTGGCTAACTGCTTGGGTTTTGACTAAACAGTTAGCTTTCAAATCTTGCTGGCGCTGACTTGTGGTCGCGTCCACTCTAGGCGAGTCTATATTGCCTTAGGGGACATAGAATGTTTTTACGTAGCCTCAGTGGTACATGTCTGGATTTCCTGAATGATTTGCTTTGTGAGGCGTTATAATGTACAAGTAGTTTCCCTGGTTAGCCTCAGAATGGCCACAGTCAGCTGGCGTACAAGTGATAATATGATAAATGCGATTAATACACCGATATTTACTATACGGTGGTAGCCATCTTGAACACTGATTGAAACTAAATAAAGAGACAAGTTGAGAAACAGTTGCCTACAAATCAGGGGGAAAATAAATCTTCACATTAAAACGATTTGTTAAAACGATTGAACCAACCGCTAATAAAATTCGACTTCATTCCTCGTTTTAGCCTGTATACGAATACATGTACCTCATTACACGAAGAAAATAGAACACTTTTCCTTTTATATTTGAAAGTGAAATCGTCATCCAACTAAAGTATGACATTCCCTACTGTTATATAGATTAACCAAGAGTGGGCGTGACCACAGGACGGCGCCAAAGCAGTTAGCCAATTCACTAGCGAGTTTGCAAATTGGCTGCCCCAATACTTCCGAGACTTGCTGTAATGTATATATTTTGACATTTATGACCTGTAACTATTATTAGTAGAAGTATTACATTTTAGTGATATTTTTTTTTATGTATGTAAAATTGAGCCCTCATCTCAAACAATCTCATGTTAACAAGCTAAGAATTTTCAGGAAGCAGGCCCAACAAGCACCACTTGTGTTAATACATGTTTTCCAGCTATAATATCTATAATTACATTTTTCTTTATTCTGATTTTTTTTTCTCAATCGTTAAATAGTCTATTTTCTATGATATATATTTGTTTGTATCTCTATTGTATGGCGAATAAACCATTATTAATATTGTTAAGTACATTCATTCATGCAGCACATAAGCAAAATAATCAGAGACAAAAAGATATTGTAGATTTTATTATCCTCTCCTTTCATCCCAAACTTGATCATGTTATTTTGACAATAAATTTATATACACGTAATGTGCATCTTGCATTGTTTTAGCAGTACAATGAAGAAGTGCACACATAGTTTATTTCCAAACTGTAAGATTACACCTTTTTGAGATGACATTAAGAAAGAAGAGAGCTAAAAAATAAAATAAAATCATGCCATAGAGAGCACTACTTACAGGTGTTGAGGGCAAAGATTCTGTGACAACTGATGAGGAACCAAATCCTGACAGTAATGAAGATGACTTCTTAAATTTCTTTTTTTTCTTGACTGGTGGTGGCTCTGGTACCCACTATGTACAATAAATAAAACAGTAAGAAAAACTTTAAATATATCAATTTTATTTATTTATATTTTTAGGTTAATTCATGTGAGGGTTGATGAAGCACAATATCCTTAATGACAATGCTAAAAGATTATTGAGAGCCCAATAATGCGACATCTCCAAGTTGACTGAGTTATTTGGTACCTAGCAGAAATGTGCCATTATCATACAAGTACATCTGGTTCAGTAGCACAATACATGTACATTTTTGAATGGTTATGCCAGCAATGTGATTTCATAGCATTGTATGATGACACAATGAAAGGTTTGAGAGAAAAATGCTCCGAACACTCACAAATGTTTTTCTTATTGAACACACCCGAGGTGAATGATTTCTAATATGTATAATAATAATAAAGACAAATCGGTCATCACACTCACTGTACTGTTTTTAGCCATTATTTGAGATATCGTTGTAATTTGATACAAGAATTTATAAAATAAGGGTATGCAACTTAATATTTATATTCAGTGATATCCAATGAAGATGCCACATGCATGGTATTCAAATGCATTTCTAAACAATACCAATGGCGTCACAGCGGAAGCTTAGGAAGACTCTTATACGTAAACAGCAGTGAGCATGATTGTCAAGGTATTCAAAAGTGCAAAACAATTGTAATACATACTTTGCAAATAAACAAGGACACTAGCAAAACAGCCCAAGACAAACACTAACCAGTTCTTTGACAGACTTAAATTCATACAAGATCACATATCACACCACTAATGTATACCCCTTATCTTATAAATCCATGTTTGATTCTAATATTTTGACTTTGTATGTATGATGAGCTACCATATTATTTAACTCACCTTGAAAGGCACTTCAGTAACAGAACGGTCATCAGTCTGCAACATATATTCCAACCTCTCCCAACAAAACCATATATCATGAGTTATTAGTTTCCAGAGTAGATCAAATATCTAGAATAATAGTAATAAATATTGTCTAATTATTATGAGAGTGAGTGTATACAATCAGATCTCACAGATCAACATTGAGCTATAAAAAAAAGGAAATTTAAAATCAAATCGTCCATTTTTTGTGACACGTGTTTTGGTCTGTGCCTTTCACGCAAGGAGCAACATCCGCATCCGATGTTCCTAGGGCTTTAATCATGTACATGTACTATGTGATGTATCAAGTTTTAACCAATGTTTACTCCTCATAACAACTTTAAATGAAAGTTATTGAGGCATTTATACATTTCAATGTAATTACATTTAAAAATCAGAACAGGGGCAAAATTTGCTGATGTCATGGTACAACTACCGGTAAATATGAAAACTAGTTCCATCTGTCACAACCATGAAAATAAATACAATGTATGCAGACTAAACATTTTAACTTCAATTATGTTAGTTAGTTAGTTTACTGATACATTGTAAATCACAAGGAAGTTTGTTGCCTTATTATAGTCCTTGCAAAAATATTTCAATACTACAATAGTTATACTGTAAATATGTTCTGTCATTATTTTAGTTTTTGTTTACTCATTTGTTTTAGGGTTCTCCCAAAGTATTATAGAGTAGGGCAGACCCCTAAATTAGGATAAAACATTAGAGCTCAATAATCATAACAATGTTTACTCTTGGTGCAATAAACACACTCCATTCATCTTTATAAATATATGACAGTTGACACAAACCAGCCAATCAACGAGCACAGTGTATAACATCTTTATTTAAAAACTTTCCGATGTTATTCAATTGGGAATACAAACCTCTCATTTCAGTTTAAACTACGAAATTTATAAATATTTATATAGATGAAAGGCATGCCTTTGATATGTACAGAGTAATTAACATGTTCTATTGTTAGGCAAATTAGTTGCAGCTATGTTATTTTCCTGTGTTGTCCGAATCAAATATCTTCATGAAAATGTTATCCCATGCATAGCTTGTGTATCACCACAATGTGATGTAGCAAAGGGTAGATCAAAAACCCATAACACCACAGTATGACAGGGTATATAAACAACCTATATCACTACAGTGTGATGTAACACTGGGCAGATCAACAACCTATATCACTACAGTGTGACGTAACACAGGGCAGATCAACAACCCATATCACCACAGTGTTACGTAACACAGGGCAGATCAACAACCCATATCACCACAGTGTGACGTAACACAGGGCAGATCAACAACCCATATCACCACAGTGTGACGTAACACAGGGCAGATCAACAACCCATATCACCACAGTGTGACGTAACACAGGGCAGATCAAAAACCCATAACACCACAGTGTGACGTAACACAGGGCAGATCAAAAACCCATATCACCACAGTGTGACGTAACACAGGGCAGATCAACAACCCATATCACCACAGTGATACGTAACACAGGGCAGATCAAAAACCCATATCACCACAGTGTGACGTAACACAGGGCAGATCAAAAACCCATATCACCACAGTGTGACGTAACACAGGGCAGATCAAAAACCCATATCACCACAGTGTTACGTAACACAGGGCAGATCAACAACCCATATCACCAGTGTTTAGTAACACAGGGCAGATCAAAAACCCATATCACCACAGTGTTACGTAACACAGGGCAGATCAAAAACCCATATCACCACAGTGTTACGTAACACAGGGCAGATCAAAAACCCATATCACCACAGTGTGACCTAACACAGGGCAGATCAAAAACCCATATCACCACAGTGTGACGTAACACAGGGCAGATCAAAAACCCATATCACCACAGTGTTACGTAACACAGGGCAGATCAAAATCCCATATCACCACAGTGTGACGTAACACAGGGCAGATTAAAAACCCATGTGAAACACTGTCGACCATTTTATACAGTACAATAACTACAGATTGTGGTATCTATGATTCATTTTGGTAAGCTTAGATTGATACAAAACCCTGGCCGTAATCACTTGTGTCTGTTTAAGTGAACCTGAGAGAAAATATTGTGATATTGTATCTAAAGATGACATAATAATAATATCAGTGTACTCACATGTTCAGCATGTCTCATTGCAAATAATCGACAGTCAATAAATACATCTTTAGGAATTACTTCTCTACAGAAACAAGAATAAATTCATTTTACAACATATATATGTGTGACTTTATTAATGATAGGGTCCACTGTAGTCTTTACCATAAACTAGGTGTATACTAATCAGAATAAAATCAGATGTAGGTATTGGCTCCAATTTTTTTTTTTTAATTTTTATATATTTCTTTTTATATTGTACATGTTAAGGTAACCAGGATACAATAGAAAAAAACAGCAAATAAAATAAAAAAAATTTAAATAAACAAAAATAAAAAAACATATACAATTTTTTTTTTAAATTTAAGCCTATACATGTACCTGCATCAGATTGTAATCAGATTGAACACATAATAAAATTTACAACATACATGTAGGTAAAAAGTAATGTGTGGCCTTATTAATAATATGGTCCAGGGTAGTCTTTACCATGTACAAGATGTATACTAACCTTTCTTTAAGTTCTTGCACAATCCATTCAACTCGAGTTATTTTTTGTTGTTGAGTCAAATCATCAAAGCTCTGTATCTTCTTGTTGTCATTGCCGGTAAAACCTAATTAATACGTTTAATACGTTTAATTAAAATTAATACGTTTGAAAAATTGCATAACAGCAGTGAACAAGAACATGCATACATCACTTGTTATAATATACTGGTACAAGAAACTACAACCAGCTTTGTTTTGGTGTGTTGGGTGTCACTAATTCAAAAGACAATAATTTATGTGTTTTAATGATTTCACTATTTAGTGTGTATAGTGAAAAGAACATCTTATTACATACATGTATCTTCACTTGCAAGCAAATGTTTTACATGGTTTAGAATAGGAAAAGGCTTATATAGACGATTGTCATTTGCAACTTTTCAGGGTGCCAGCAATTGCAAAAGTTTAACTGCTTTTTGTAACCACTGATGTGTGAATTCAAAAAATCTTCACAATGAAGTAAATGTGATTCAAATTTTAAGTCAATCTAAATCAAAGTTAAACTGTAAATACCTGTAGCTCCTGTGTGATCAGAGCATGTATTATAAAGGTATAGGCTTTGCCTAATAAGTGAATGTAATTGCATGTAGGTCAATCCATCAATAAAATTGATCAAGATGTCTGAGAATCTATGACATACTGTATATGGAAACGCATGATTTTGATATGGGCATTTTGAAAAACATGCAAGGACAATATACTTGTCAACAAAGAGCACTAATGAGGCACTCTATGAATGAGGTATTTCTAGAGGTATTTCAGTTGAATAATTTTTGCTTTGATTTTATTATGGGCTTTTTTCCCAATGTGACTTAATTTCACTTGTTTTTTTTAATTCTTGGTAATTAGTGTCATTAGCGATGGAGCAGTAAAAACCGCAATTAACCTCAGTGCAGCAAATCGGGATAGATCTTCCTGACGCAATGGGCAAATTTCGTTATTTTCGCTGACAAGTAAAATCTGCTAAATTAAACCTACGTGAACATGTAAAGTAACAACAGATT